AATTGGGAGCCCAGTCTCCATCCCCCAGCGGCCGTGTGATTTATTGGGAATTGGGAGCCCAGTCTCCATTCCCCAGCGGGAGATATTAAAGGGAATTGGGAGCACGAGCTCCATTCCCCAGCGGGAGATATTGCAGGGAATTGGGAGCCTGAGCTCCATTCCCCAGCGGCAGGCTGAGTTACAGGGGGCAGAGGTAGTTGTTCCTGCCCCCCAGCAGCAGAAGGAATTGCAGGGAATTGGGAGCCTGAGCTCCATTCCCCAGCGGCAGGCTGAGTTACAGGGGGCAGAGGTAGTTGTTCCTGCCCCCCAGCAGCCAGGTGATATGCCAGGAAGGCAGTGGGAAATCCAGGGAGAGGAGAGCAGTGTCCTCCCTCCCCAGCGGCAGCGTGATGTTTTGGGAATTGGGAGCCCAGTCTCCATTCCCCAGCGGCAGTATGATGCTTTGGGAATTGGGAGCCCAGTCTCCATTCCCCAGCGGCAGAATGATGCTTTGGGAATTGGGAGCCCAGTCTCCATTCCCCAGCGGCAGAGTGTCCTACCGGGAATAGAGAGCCCAGTCTCCTTTCCCCAGCAGCAGGACTCTGTATTGGGAGCAGAGACAGTCGGTCTCCCTCCCCCGCAGCTGGAAGTATGTATGGGAGAGGAGCTGGTTACCCCCTCTCCCCAGCGGCAGCTTAATGTACAAAGGGGAGACAGTAAGCCCCACAACTGTGCAGATGGGACCGTAGTCTCTACACTGCCAGCACAGGGGGTAGGGACGGTCGGTCCTGCCCCCCAGCGACAGGGCTGTTTAGCCAAAGGGGAGACAGTCGGTCTCCCCCTCCAGCAGCAGAGATGGGTAACCAAAGGGGAGACGGTCGGTCTCCAGCAGCAGCAGCAGAGCGGTGTATTTAAAGGGGAGACAGTCGGTCTCCCCCTCCAACAACCAGGCTTCCACCAGGCTACCCTCCCAGTAGCGCTGGCAACAGGGCAGAGTGCCGCTGGTCTCTGCCCACGCAGCAACCCACCAAGTCAGCGTACCCGTACCCAGCACAGCCGTGGTGAGGCACCTGGACATGGACAAGCTTCTTCTCTACCCAGGTGTAGTAACCATTTGTTGTGGGTGGGCTGTGCTGTGGATTATTTGTTGTGGGTGGGCTGCTGGACTAACAAGGGCACTGACCGGCAGGAGGTCAGATACCCTGTTAGTCTGTTTGGAAAAGGGGAGAGATGTGACGAGACCAATCTCGCCACATTGCATTGGAGAAGCCTGGTTGCTCGCCTGCTGCCTTTGGACTATGGCCCCTTTGTAAAAGACTTTATTTTTGCAGGCAGAAAAGCTGTATTCGTGCTTTTCTGCCGGTTGTTCGGTAGTTTCAATCTACCGAACAACCGTACGAATGACTGGACCACCTGGGAGCTGGAGTGTGCCGGCAATTAACCTCCCTGAAGCTGCGGTTAACCGCAGCTTAATTGATGAACGCTGGGTGGCCGCCGTTCGTATCCCGAACACGAGGTCGCGGCCATTTTAAACCATACGAATGAACAGCGGTGTTCGCCTCTATTTTCATGGAACTAAAATCGGACACAGTTTTGCGCGAACACCGCTGAAGCCGCCGACCTCCCTCCTTGTTCGGTGAAAGCACACGAATGACCCGGTGTTCGGTATTTTTGTGTGAATTTCTTATACCCCAGATAGGAATCCCATGGAGCCCATTCGTATGAAACTGACTGTAAAGACTTTGGCTCCATGGCGATTGAACTGTATTCGTGTAGGCTGAGTGCCATTCACTTAATAATGTGCACTCAGACCTGAGCTATCTGGGGATGTGTTACATGTCGGTGTTTTATGTAGTAAATGTTACTTTGTGCATTTTAAAGTATAATGCTGTTTTGTGTTCCCACGTGTGTAATGGAGTTTTGCCTTTGTCTTGGGAGATAATTGAGTTACTTCCCAATTATCTCCCAGGGCAGAGGGGAGGAAGCCAGGATGCATTGTGGGAATATACTGTGACTGTGTGTCCTATTTGTATACTTGTCTGTCCCTTGTCACAGTCTTCCATCTGGTCCCCTAGGGGAGTGTCCACCAGGTGGGAGACCTGCATAAAAGCCGGGCAGGTAGCCCTCATTAAACAGACCACTGCTTGACCCTCAACACGGAGCTCTGTCTCGTCTTTGGGGGGATTTACTGTATGCTGCTAAGGACTGATTGCCAGGAGTGTAAGCCGCTTGGGAGCTTTTCCTGTTCGTCTGGTAGCAGCAATTCGTATGGTTCCTGTTCGTGTATTTGGAGTGCTACCTTATTCCCTTGTATGCCGTTCGGGAGTTTGGAGCATTCACTTGTATGCAGTTCGAGAGTTTGGAGCATTCACTTGTATGCAGTTCGAGTGTTTGGACCATTCCCTTGTATGCAGTTCGAGTGTTTGGAGCATTCCCTTGTATGCCGTTCGGGAGTTTGGAGCATTCACTTGTATTCAATTCGTGAGTTTTGGTGATTCTACAGTAGCTGTGCCTGTCTCTAAAAGGGGATTATCGTCTAAGCGGTTTTTTTCCCCTTTTATGCTAAACGGTCCGTTACAAACACCCAGTAGCTTATCTAAGCCGAAAACTCCTACCCAGAGAAGTAAGCGACACCGCCATTGAAAAGGAGTGCCTGGCTGTGGTGTGGGCCCTCAAAAAACTGCAGCCCTATTTATATGGGCAACCGTTTACATTACTCACAGATCACAACCCGTTGGTATGGCTGAACAGGGTGTCAGGAGACAATGCCAGGCTGCTGCGCTGGAGTTTGGAGCTGCAGCCTTTTGACTTTACTATTCACTACCGCCCTGGGAAGCAAAATGGCAACGCTGACAGGTTATCCCGACAAACAGACCTTGAACAGTGATCTGTGAGTACTCCTCCGGACATCCCCAAGCCGATTCGTTGGGATCAGACTGTGTATGCCGGCTTGGTTCTGGGGGAGCATTGTGGCAAAACTAGCCACTTAAGACTGTATTTGTATAAATGTGTTTCTATAGCTTTAAGGTTGTTAGAACCAAGTGTATTCAGGTATCTCTATTTCAGGCGAACAAGAGCATTCGTATGCTGGCGGCATGGAAGCCACCAGCATTCATACCGTAGTTTCACGAACAGTGAATTTCAACACTGTTCGTGAAACGAATAAACTACCAAATTGGCGACCACACACAGGAGGTTGTGTGGCGCCCATTAACCGATTGCAACATTGTTGCAATCGGTAGTTAAGTGCTTTCCTAGGTGGCCGTCGTTCGACTACCGACCACGCGGCGGTCGGCCATCTTGGATCCTTTGTTAGCCCAGCGGTATTTGGTCGTCGAGCGCCTGGAACTAAAATCGGCTACTCGACGGACTTCGAGGCCGTTCGGGAGCCCCGGGCATTCGGTAGTTTGTTCCCCTAATGTCAATCAGTACTTTGAATGTAACTTGAATATAATGTGTGTTTCGCGCGTCGTTCAGTTAGTTATGCTGGGATCTGAGCAGTATTCTCACGAACTGTACGCCCAGACCCCAGCTATCTACCCAACTGCCATTCGTTTAAATAGAGTGAATAATGTGAAAGTTATATATTTTAATGTGAAATATTGGTTCTGCTGCACGGAGGGATAATCCACTTAACTGTATATTCTAGTGGGAGTATCCCTCTCGTACAGCAGTGCATGATGGGAGAAATGTCCAGGTTGTTAAGTCCCCAATGTAGTCCCCTACTGTATAACCCCTGTAATGTCAGTAGGGAAACCCCTTGCATGGGGAATCCCATAAATACTGTGACCTGTGAATAAAACCTCAGTTGACTCCCAGCCTATGTGTCGTCTAGTTCTTGGGAAGGAAGGATTCTTACAACGCTACCGGGATTATTGTATGCTGTATTTATTTCCTTGGATTATTTTATGCTGTTCCTGTTACCCAGCGGAGATACTGTGGATTATACTAGCTCTCCGCTACAATATATATATAGTTTGTATATTATATTTTTGTAAAACATTCCTGGAATATCATTATGATACACAACCTGTACTTATAATGGGCACAGGGTGACTTAAACATGAGTCATCCTGGGACCTCCATAGAGAGTCAGATGTTATGCTCCCAGTGATGCTGACTACCGTCACAGTGTCACAGTCACTTTCATGTTTGGCGTCTTTAGAGTGCATGCGCTATTTTCTATATAAAACGGGTACTTTATAAAATGGTGCCTTTTTTTCTGTAATTTGCCAGTAAAATCTGTCTTTCAGACACTTCTCTTTCCGATTTGCTCTTTCTGCAATGTTACCATTGATTACATTCACACTATACTGATATTATCAGGGGAGAAAAGGGGTGTTTTCGTAATTTGCTTTATGCTATTGGTCACAGAAAACGCAATAACCTGAGAGCGGCTGGGAAAGGCTAAGAAAAGAAAAGGTGCGGTTTTGCTCCTCTTTTTAAACTTTGTAAGCGACAAATTTGTGAACCAAATAAAAGAGTAAAAAAGTGTCAGGAAAATAAAATGATGGCAGAATAAGGAATATTTTGTATATTAAGTAAGGGAATAAAACGGCGCAAGTAGGAAAAATGCCAGAAAACCAGCATAAACTTTGAAAGTGTCCCTTTTTATACGTAACCCTTATTGATGCAATCTGTGCTACGGTGATGTGCTTTGAACAGAAAGTCAACCAATCAGGACTTCTCTTACGTTAGACATTGCCTAGCAGCTAGTCCAGCAATAGTTACAGAAATGACAGTAACTTTCTATCTGTACAGAGCACCCAGTCTGGCGCTGGCTCTTGTCATTCCACACACAGTGTTTCAGGAAAAGATTGGCCGGATGGTAAAACACAGGATTTCTCTGGTCAGTCTGAGATGAAGGAACATTAGAAATAGTTAATAGAAAAGTGTTATCAAAATCCTCTCGTCTTCTTCATGTAATGAGCAAAGTACAATCTGTTTAAGATCCAATTTATATTTATTAGAAGAATCATTTCAGTTTAATCATTTACTAATTAGCAAAACTGCATTGATTTCCCATATCAGGGGATGGTTTATTGTGTTTTATTATCATCAAACACGCAAAGCATGACAGTCGTGCAGAATGTGTGCATTACAGGAACAGGCGTTGCTAAGATGGACTTTGGGGACTGAAACCCCAGATGTGGGTTCTTTAACCCCGAATCACTGCAGCTGGTGGAGGGGGTAGGAGGACATGTGAGTTTTTTCATTCTACACGAGGAACAGACAGACGTTTCACAGAGCAGCCACCAATTATAAAAGATCAGGAGTATAGAGCTCCTCCAGGTGCCCCTCAGGTGATTGTCAGAAGCACGCCGATCTATTTATTAGATAGCGTGGTTGGATCACATTGAATGGCTGGGAAGCAGGTGCTTTCTTTGACATCCTGGAGAGATGCAGCCGCAGGCTGTTCATGGGTGGGTGGGGGGGGGGGAATAGACCATGACATCCCACCTCGATCTTAGAGTAGTGGTCATCGAGTTTCCTTTGGATGAAGTCGCTGGTCCTTCTGAAACCTAGTAACATCCCCTGTAACAGGAATGGATTCATCCAGCTATGGTAAATGCAATTTCTCCCCAAATTGTAAGAAAACTAACGTGTCAGCACAGACGTCTCTGTTAAGCAGAATTGACAAAACTAACTACGCAGAACGCAGCCATTTTGGTATTTTCTCCTCCAATGATACAAGGTGTGCAGTGTTTTAGAAACAGGGCTGTCACGTGACCTAATTCACGTAAAGATAAGATTTCACCTGAAGACACTGTGTAAATTCTTGGGCTTAATTCACTAAACTGGGAATTGCAGAAAACTGTCAAGAGAATTGCAAATTATACACCAAACTCTGTGAGCTGGAGTAATGGCAGAGTGGGGGAGTTCTTCCAATTTGTAATGCACTGTAATTCTTGTCACCAGTTCTCAGTTTAGGTAATAACTCGGGAAGAAAAAAACTCACTAAGCCATGCACCAAAACCACCCCATCTCTTACAGCCAGGAGAATCAGGCCCAAAATGGCCATCAGACAAACTTGGCAACCCAGGTGGGCCGCAATGGCCAAGGCGACAGATCTCCCCAGCCGGCCCCTTCAGACCTGTTACTCCCCGGCGTCGGCACAAACTGGGGGCTCTTCGATTGGTGGGAAAATCAAAGATCTCTCACCGGCCAGCACAGTGCAATGCCAGCATCCAGGGAGCTTTTGGTCTGCACCCCACAGTGAGTGCAGACCGTGTGAGTCAATCGAGTGAATCAAAGTGTTGTCACTGTAATGTAATCAAATTGAATACATTTTATCAACCAACAAAACCACTATTATTGCAACTCCATTTTTTACATTCTTAATGGACAAAATTGATATGATTGCTGTGCCATATTCAATATGGTAGCATACAACATAGCAGAACGTGTGCGTTTTATCAGGGAAACTTATATACTTTATTACTATTCAGTATTATTGCACAACCAGCCCACCAGAATTATCCAGGTTAGGAGAGCAAGTGTTACCAAAAGATGGAAATAATCTTGGCACACTTTATAAAACTATACATTATTTGGCTAAACACACTCAGTGATTACAAAAAAAAAATCAGTTCTTGCCCTTCTCATGATGAAAGGTTAAGTAGAAAAGGTTATGTTTTCATTAAATCACTGCGGGAACTAATGGACTCTCGTCAAACCAGACCGTTTACTTCCAGCAGCTGGCACGGGATGGTCTGGCAATAGCTAAGTCCCTGTATTAGATATATAGGGATTTATAGTGTATGAGGTTTCAGTGCAGTTATCTAGAACTCAATGTGCCAATAGAAAATAATTAACAAAAAACTCTGGATAAGACTCAAGAGTCTAACACACACACAATACATGACACTAGTTAACACCTCTCTCTCCGCCTATCCTCATTTCACTCCAGAAAATCATTGTAGCAAAGCCTGCTCCCTGCTGCAGCCAATATGGTCCAGCAAATCTTCTGCCGGGCGTTGGTCTCTGCGAGTTGGCTCTCAGGGGCCATAAAGACCAGACCACTCGGAGCAGCTCTGAGGGTGGTTGACTCTACCTGGTATGCTCCAGGGGGAAAGGATGCTCGAAAGGATTTTGCAGAGAAACATATTCAGGGGGCATTGTTCTTTGATATGGACCAATGCTCAGAAAAATCTTCACCCTACGAAATGATGCTGCCAAGCGAGTCCCAGTTTGCCAAGTATGTGGGTAGTCTTGGCATCAACAACCAGAGCCACGTAGTGGTCTACGATTGTGACAGCGCAGGTATGATGTACGCTCCTCGGGTCTGGTGGATGTTTAGACTATTCGGTCATAATAAAGTGTCAGTGCTGGACGGGGGGTTAAGGAACTGGCTAAAGCAAGGGTTGCCGGTGACGGCCGAGGTCACAGAGGTTAAACCTCACACTTTCCAGACAAAACTAAATCGATGTCTGCTGAAGACCTTCGAGGACATTCAAGAGAACTTAAGTAGCACGAAATTCCAACTGGTGGATGCTCGAGGAGAGGCACGATTTAGGGGCCCCGAGCCCAAGCCTGGAGAAGGTAAGGGTTTGTAAAAAGACTGAGTGCAGCATCTTAACATATGGAAATCAGTAATCTATGAGAAGGAGCAGGATGTGTAACAAAGCTCAGTAATTACCAAGAGGGAGCTTCCAGAGCAAACAATTGCAGAATGAGAGCAAGAAGGAGAGAATGAAGGACACTCAGAGAGATACAATATATATAATGGCTGAACACACAGACTGCATGTAGATAACAATATATCCACTATACAGAGCCAACTACTGACACACTATACAGAGATACAATGTAAAGAGCCAAATACTGACACACTATATAGAGATATCGAGACAGAGTGTACAGATTGTATATAGAGGTTCTATACTCAGTGAATGGGGAGATACAAGGGTTAATGTTCAGTCTATGAAGAGCTGCAGAGATAAGTATTTAGTCTATGGGGAGCTCCAGGGTTATGGGTTCAGTCTATGGAGAGCTGCAGGGTTCAGCATTCAGTCTATGGAGAGCTGCAGGGTTCAGTATTCAGTCAATGGAGAGCTGCAGGGTTCAGTATTCAGTCAATGGAGAGCTGCAGGGTTCAGTATTCAGTCAATGGAGAGCTGCAGGGTTCAGTATTCAGTCAATGGAGAGCTGCAGGGTTCAGTATTCAGTCTATGGAGATCTGCTGGGTTCAGTGTTCAGTCAATGGAGAGCTGCAGGGTTCAGTGTTCAGTCAATGGAGAGCTGCAGGGTTCAGTGTTCAGTCTACAGAGAGTTGCAGGGTTCAGCGTTCAGTCAATGGAGAGCTGCAGGGTTCAGTATTCAGTCTATGGAGATCTGCAGGGTTCAGTGTTCAGTCAATGGAGAGCTGCAGGGTTCAGTATTCAGTCTATGGAAAGCTGCAGGGTTCAGTGTTCAGTCAATGGAGAGCTGCAGGGTTCCATGCTCGGTGTATGGAGAGCTGCAGGGTTGATTATTCAGTCTATGGAGAGCTGCAGGGTTCAGTGTTCAGTCTATGGAGAGTTGCAGGTTCAGTGTTCAGTCTATGGAGAGCTGCAGGGTTCACTATCCAGTCCGTGGAGAGCTGTAGGGTTCAGTATACGGTCTGTGGAGAGCTGCAGGGTTCAGTATTTAGTCTATGGAGAGCTGCAGGGTTCAGTGTTCAGTCAATGGAGAGCTGCAGGGTTGATTATTCAGTCTATGGAGAGCTGCAGGGTTTAGTGTATGGAGAGCTGCAGGGTTCACTATCCAGTCCGTGGAGAGCTGTAGGGTTCAGTATACGGTCTGTGGAGAGCTGCAGGGTTCAGTGCTCAGTCTATGGAGAGCTGCAGGGTTGATTATTCAGTCTATGGAGAGCTGCAGGGTTCAGTGTTCAGTCTATGGAGAGCTGCAGGGTTCAGTGTTCAGTCTATGGAGAGCTGCTGGGTTCAGTGTTCAGTCAATGGAGAGCTGCAGGGTTCAGTGTTCAGTCTATGGAGAGCTGCAGGGTTCAGTCTATGGAGAGCTGCAGGGTTCAGTGTTCAGTCTATGGAGAGCTGCAGGGTTCAGTCTATGGAGAGCTGCAGGGTTCAGTGTTCAGTCTATGGAGAGCTGCAGGGTTCCATGCTCGGTGTATGGAGAGCTGCAGGGTTGATTATTCAGTCTATGGAGAGCTGCAGGGTTCAGTGTTCAGTCTATGGAGAGTTGCAGGTTCAGTGTTCAGTCTATGGAGAGCTGCAGGTTCAGTGTTCAGTCAATGGAGAGCTGCAGGGTTCACTATCCAGTCCGTGGAGAGCTGTAGGGTTCAGTATACGGTCTGTGGAGAGCTGCAGGGTTCAGTATTTAGTCTATGGAGATCTGCAGGGTTCAGTCAATGGAGAGCTGCAGGGTTGATTATTCAGTCTATGGAGAGCTGCAGGGTTTAGTGTATGGAGAGCTGCAGGGTTCACTATCCAGTCCGTGGAGAGCTGTAGGGTTCAGTATACGGTCTGTGGAGAGCTGCAGGGTTCAGTGCTCAGTCTATGGAGAGCTGCAGGGTTGATTATTCAGTCTATGGAGAGCTGCAGGGTTCAGTGTTCAGTCTATGGAGAGTTGCAGGGTTCAGTGTTCAGTCAATGGAGAGCTGCAGGGTTCAGTATTCAGTCTATGGAGAGCTGCAGGGTTCAGTGTTCAGTCAACGGAGAGCTGCAGGGTTCCGTGCTCGGTCTATGGAGAGCTGCAGGGTTCAGTGTTCAGTCTATGAAGAGCTGCAGGTTCAGTGTTCAGTCAATGGAGAGCTGCAGGGTTCACTATCCAGTCCGTGGAGAGCTGTAGGGTTCAGTGCTCAGTCTATGGAGAGCTGCAGGGTTGATTATTCAGTCTATGAAGAGTTGCAGGGTTCAGTGTTCAGTCTATGAAGAGTTGCAGGTTCAGTATCCAGTCTGTGGAGAGCTGCTGGGTTCAGTGTTCTTTTTTTTTAAAATATCTTTTTATTTCTTCAAAAAAAAAAAATTCCATATAAAAATTACAAAAACATGCATACAATTCCTCTATCGACATTTCAAAAAATTACCCCTAGAATGTTAAAGCAGAATACAAGAGTTAATAAGAGAAAAACATTGATTCAATCAATGCATATATATATCTTACATACTTATATCCGTAAATATCCTTCTATGACATTCCCAGAGTATCTCAGTACAAAATAACCATATCTATAGAAAACATGGATCTCAAAATAGAGGAAACATTAAAACCAAAATTCATACCTTTCACACATTCCATCCCGTGGGACTAGGATATTATCATCCCCTTATTTCTTTCCCGAATTAATAAGTACATTTTTACTAATGTCCCTCCAGGATCAGACGCACAATGGGTTCAGTGTTCAGTCTATGGAGAGTTGCAGAGTTCAATGTTCAGTCAATGGAGAGCTGCAGGGTTCAGTGTTCAGTCAATGGAGAGCTGCAGGGTTCAGTGTTCAGTCAATGGAGAGCTGCAGGGTTCAATGTTCAGTCAATGGAGAGCTGCAGGGTTCAGTCTATGGAGAGCTGCAGGGTTCAGTGTTCAGTCTATGGAGAGCTGCAGGGTTCAGTGTTCAGTCTATGGAGAGTTGCAGAGTTCAATGTTCAGTCAATGGAGAGCTGCAGGGTTCAGTCTATGGAGAGATGCAGGGTTCAGTGTTCAGTCTATGGAGAGATGCAGGGTTCAGTGTTCAGTCTATGGAGAGTTGCAGGGTTCAGTGTTCAGTCTATGGAGAGCTGCAGGGTTCAGTCTATGGAGAGCTGCAGGGTTCCGTGTTCAGTCTATGGAGAGCTGTAGGGTTCAGTCAATGGAGAGCTGCAGGATTCAGTATCCAGTCCGTGGAGAGCTGTAGGGTTCAGAATACAGTCTGTGGAGAGCTGCAGGGTTCACTGCTCAGTCTATGGAGAGCTGCTGGGTTGATTATTCAGTCTATGGAGAGCTGCAGGGTTCAGTGTTCAGTCTATGGAGAGTTGCAGGGTTCAGTGTTCAGTCTATGGAGAGCTGCAGGGTTCAGTGCTCATTCAATGGAGAGCTGCAGGGTTCCGTGCTCAGTTAATGGTGAGCTGCAGGGTTCCGTGCTCAGTCAATGGAGAGCTGCAGGGTTCAGTATTCAGTCTATGGAGAGCTGCAGGGTACCGTGCTTGGTCTATGGAGAGCTGCAGGGTTGATTATTC